CCCACTTTCCAACAAAGGAAAGAATCTTATACTATAACGCCTTGATTAAACCCGTCCTTATGTACGGGAGCATGGTTTGGAATATCTGCGAAGCTAAAGAACTGCACTGTCTCCTAAGGTTACAGAAAAGGGCTGCCCGAGTAATTCTTGGAGTGGACTCTTATTCTAGAAGTGTTGTAAACTTTAGTAAACTAGGCTGGTTGCCTTTTTTTGATGAAATCAAACTAAATAAGTGTACAATGATTTTTAAGAGCCTTAAAGGCGATGTTCCGATTTACATCAGAGACTTGCTCAAGACGAACAGTCATGGCAATTTAAATTTAGTGTGTCCCAGATACCTAAGAAATAACGATGGTGGCAAGGCATTCAGAGTTGACGCAGTTAAGTTATGGAACAGCCTTTCCCATGATATCAAAAATAAGCCTAGTATAAAACTATTCAAAACAGCTGTGAAAAAGCATTTTATAAGCTCATACAGAAACCTGGACAACTTTGAAACAATATAAAGCCATAGCACATTATCTACTTTTAATTTTTTACAAATTAATTTTATCTTTCTGAATATTTTTTAATCTATCCTGCTATTTCTATTATAGAATTTTGTAATTATTTATATATTTATTTATTTATCAGTTTTTTTGTAATGCTGTATAATCTAGTTAGAGGGCCACAGGTTTGTCAGCTATACAGCTGTTACGTGTCCCCCTCTATAAATAAAGTCCTTACTTACTTACTTACTTACTTACTTACTTGGGATATTAAGAGTACGAGGAAAGTTTTTAAACCAGCTGGAGGTTATGGGCCGGTTATTTACACGAGGTCTAACTCAAACCCCGGTTTTACGCATTGATTCTCTATAAGAGGTCTATAAGATTTTAATTAACTAAATTAACTAATTATTATTAACTAATTATTAATTAACTATTAATTAACTAAATAAATGTGGGTTGATTTAACTAAACAGAATTCCTTCCCAAGTTGCTTTACTTCAGTTGACCTGCAGCATAGATACGTTTTACTATGCCTCTCCTCCCACAGACAAAAGTTCTGGCTGAAAAAGCCTTTAAACTGATTACCAAGATCGGGGACAGCATGCTATCGTCAAGAGAAGTTGGTGACGAGCCTGTTGAAGTTGAGACCAAGGCAATATCCATGAGGTTAGACAGAAAGACTCCAAGAGCAATGAGCGACAAACCCGTCAAGATAAAGGACAGCAAAGTGACATTCCCTCCGTCTGACGAGCTGTTAGGTGAGAAAGCACAAGAAATGGCATATGTAGACACGCAGGTAAGAATTTACAAAGACAAAGATACACCGCCCAAAAAACTGACTGGCATGGGTGACTGACTGACTATTACAATGGATATATGAAGTTCATACATTTTGAACTGCGGTTATAGCTACGCATGATGCATGATCCTCGCAGTAGAGAGCGATATTGATACAACCGCAGTTCAAAATATATGAACTTCATATATCCATTGTATCTGATTTATCATCACGGGTTTATTACGAATCAACTTAACGGCCTGCTCTCAGTTGGCTTGTTAGCTCAATTGGTAGAGCGCTGCACTAGTATCGCAGAGGTCAGTGGTTCGAATCCCGTACAGGCCTGATTTTTTTCAGGTCTGATTTTCGCTATTGCATAAATAGCGCTCTCTACTGCGAGGATCATGCATCATACGTACGACTGACTATTATGATTTTCACTGGCAAGTTTTAACTTTCACCTTTTCTCAGATGCTTTCTTTGAAGCATAATCCTTTTTCGTGGGACAAAACCGCCAAAGCTGTTAGGTCAGCCGTGATCAGCATTGACCTTAAGAACGATAAAGGAGAGGTTCTAGAAGTCTTGGGACTGTCTCAAGAAATCGAGCTCTACATAAAAACAGATAGACAACAGACACCCCAGGTTCCTTTACACTCTTTTGTGAAACCAAGTGTTAACGGCAGTATGCAATACCACAGAGTTTCAATTGACGAAGACGGAATGGTAGTAAGCGTCAAGGTGGTCCCATCAAACGGATCAAAATTAGTCGTTTATTTTCGCCATCTTCGCCGACCGACACTAACGAACTACGATTTCGTGGCGGAGGTCCCAGATTTCACCTCATGTAAAAGGCATGCCAAAAAAAAAATTAAAAACTCGAGTCATGCAATGCTCGATGGGAATTTTAACTGCACCAAGGATCCTTATTTACTGACACTTTCTAGTGACGTCACCGGTCACATTGGTTTACATTACATTGGAATTCGTCTTCCTGGCTCCGATGATATTTCAAAGGAAATTAAACGCAGGCGGAGATCTTGTTCTGAAAATGGAAGACAGCGGAGATCTGAAATGTGCGTGGAGTTCAAGGACCCCCCGACTACCCCCCCTCCAACCCCCAGGGTGATTGTCCCGAAGTATGATCCCAGTACTGATGAAAACTACACATTGTCAATCTCCATGGGAGCATGTTTATATTGGTCCGAAACCAAAGAGAAATGGACTTCAGAAGGCTGCAGGGTGAGTAATGTTCATTTTTTTCAATAGCTATACTTTTCGTAGTCATTAGGTTTTGGGCGAGTTCGCTCTTCTACCTTTGCGGCATCGCGTTACATGCTCTCAAAAGAGAGACGAAAATCGTAACGTTCAAACTGGTAGTCGGAAAAAGAGGTCATAGTATATGCTGTGGAAGTGACAAATCTGCCTAAAATTGACAACGCTTATTCTTATGAGGTGGGTCCGACCAAGTTGCTATGTGGTACCCAAAATAAGTCGAAAAAAGCTTCCCGAAAGTCAAATATTGTAGAAAAGTTACCGTAAAACCGTGGGTTAGCCTAACTTAACATAATATTTATCTCATGACTGCGCAGTTGATATTTTTTTGGTTTACACATTTACATACGTGTTTGTCTTTGTTTCCGTGTGACCAAGCTCCCATTGACTCGAAGTATGGACCTCGCCGGACAATCTCACCACCGGCTTTTACTCTTTTTACCTTTAATCCAGGTTGGGCCAAAGTCAGTCAATGGTTCTGTTCAGTGCCTCTGCACACATCTCTCTGCGTTCGGTGGTGACTTTTTGGTCGCTCCGAATCCTATTGACTTTGACCAAGTGTGGGACGCGTTCAGCAACATCTTGGAGACAAAAAACTTTGTAGTGCTTGGTACTGTATGTGCTATGCTTGGAATTTACTTAATCGCAGTGGTATTTGCACGGCGGGCGGACCGAAGTGACAGGCAGAAGGTAAGGAAACGAATTTATAAGTAGAGTATTTAACCTTTCCATTCCCATGAATGATCAAGAGAGAATTTCCCTTCACAATATCAATACAATATCAAGCAAAAAAGAAATGGGAATAAAGAAAAATATAAATGAGAGGATCTAAAATTAACCATATACCATAAGAGGTATGGCATTAGGTATGTAATAGACACTTGGTCAATCAGGAATTTATTTTACTGCTACGGATGTTAAATGTTTGTGTGGCCAGGAACAGTATGGAAATGCGGTGCAATATATAATGTTAACAATTTTGTGTGTTTCTTTGCCATCTTTAAGCGAAGGTATCTTTATCACCAGTTTTAGTCTTAGCTATTCACATACAACAAGTCGATAGTATTATCTACTGCCAGGCCTTACGTCCTACAGTTTGTTCTGTGATTAGTGCGCGTAATTTTAAATTCCTCGTAATGATTTTTCCATCCACTCCTATTCCGTCTTGCACTTAAACCCACGAGGCCTAAAGTGAGGTATATCAAAAACAGAGCTGATGTTCGTTGTCTAACTTTTAGGTGACCCAAGTGATTCCATTAGGTGACGTTAATCCTAGTAGCTACTGCTACGAGCTGAAAATCCATACTGGTTTGTGGCGGCGAAGCGGAACTACCGCTAATGTAGCTGTCATGATTTACGGTGACACTACAGACACTGATGTCATTCCGCTGAACTGCAGCACCATGTGCAACAATGAGCTTTTTGCTCGGGGAAGTGTCAACACGTTCATGTTGTCGCTAAAGGAGTCGCTGGGCGACATATCGCATATCAAAATCTGGCACGATAATTCCGGTGAAAATCCTCAATGGTTCGTCAACAAAATCGTCATCCGGGAAACGACGTCGGAAACCGCATGGCATTTTGTGTGTAACCGCTGGTTGGCAGCCGAAAGGGAGGATGGTAAAATTGAGCGCGTCCTTTACGTGTCTTCCTCGAGTGAAGTCAACAGTTTTAAGAACAAGTTTTACAGTCGAGTGACAGCGGGGCTTGGTGACGGGCATGTATGGCTATCGGTTATCACCAGACCCCCGACGAGTCCATTTACGCGCGTCCAGCGTGTCTCGTGTTGCTTATCCGTGTTGATGTCTGCAATGCTCACAAACGCCGTGTTTTACCAGTTTGGCGCTAAAGATACCGATAATGCTTTTCACCTCGGGCCATTTGTATTAAGCTGGCGACAGATCACTATAGGTATACAGAGTGCTGTCTTGGTTGTTCCTGTGAATGTGTTGATTGTGTTTTTGTTCCGTAACAGTAGACGCAGACGAGGGGTTACTCAGGCCTACAACACAAACAGTGACAACTTCACGGTGGATGAAACGCGCAAAACGGGCTGCTTTTTGTCGCGATTTTTTGTTTATATCGCCTGGGTGCTATGCATTTTGACTTCCCTAACTTCAGCCGCTTTCACCGTCTTCTACAGCATGATGTGGGGCACTGAAGTGTCCAACGAATGGCTGACCTCGATCTTAGTGTCGTTTACTCAAGATGTTCTATTTATTCAGCCAGTCAAGGTAGTACTTGTAGCTTCACTATTGGCATTACTCATCAAGAAGGCGCCAGAAGATGACAGTGATAAAGAAAATCAGAAGTCAATGGCGCAGTCTATAGTTAAGGTAAGTGGGCTTCTTGATTAATGTAGTGTGAGAGAATATTTCCAAACAGAAAATCTGCACGAGCAAAATATAAGAGAAACCTGACAAAATGGAAAGGGGGAGAGGGGTCCGTGAAGTAAATAACACATTGTGTAGGGGACGAATGGTCGATTTATACACACTCGCACAACTACCCTTGAAGACTTCAGTAATGTTAAAGAAACTATTAATTCTTTTTTTCTTTCTTTCTCTCTAGGGGGAATCCCATAAACCACTGAAACCCGACAACCAGCAACTAAAAAAGTTTCGGGAGTACCGCTTACGAGTGATGGTGATGGCGCGAGTTCTCATCGAATTGGCTTTCTACTTGACCTTTGCCTGGGCACTGATGACGATATCTTACGGTAGGAGAGACACTGGGCACTACTGGATGACAAAGGGAATTGATGACTTGTTGCCGAAATTTTATAAGGTAAACATTTATCGGCTGTTGATGTAAGAAGTGCTTGTGGAATATTTCTGATTTTTTCGCCTTCCTAGAAGCTTGTTTTTCTTGATATTATATTTTGTTTGAATTTCGAAACTTTCAAAAAACATACATCGATCTTGAGTTTGAACACGACCACGAACAAGAACAGTTTTTTGGGACCGGTAACTACCGGAACGTTCGTCACACAGGCCTTAGTTCTGATTGGAAAAAGGAGTAGACGTTTGAAGACTGAGCTGACATGTGATTGTTTCCTCAAAGGTCCGGGATACTGATACATTTTGGGCTTGGACCCAGAAATATCTAGTTCCCGCTGTGTATGACGTAAAGTGGTACAACGGAAAGCCCTTTGAGTACAAAGAAGGATTCATGTCAGACATGTCCGGATACTTAGTCGGCATGCCCCGCTTTAGGCAGCTCAGGATTAAACCAGGTAGGAAATATTCCTTTACCATTATGGAAAACCAGCGAACATTTTACAACTCGTAGGTCTAAGTGCATTATAAGATTAATAAAGTTAGAGTCAGCTTATTTGTGGGAATAACTCATGATTAGTTGCCAACCGATCAGGAATGTTGCTTATCTTTACTTAGTAACCAGCTGTATCTCTAACGAGCCCTTTGCATTCCGTAATGGCAGATTTGGCGAAATTTTGTTGACGATTTTGACGCACTTTGTCATTCTGTGGAAATATTCTCAAAAGTGACGATCCTGACGCAATCTCGCAAAAGTTGTTGACGAAATTATACCAGTGTAGATATGACCTGGCTAGAAGGATCCAAAAAGTTGACGAATTTGGCGAAACATTCACTCGATTTGACAAAATTTCGTCAAATCTGCCATTTTCGTTACGGCGTGCATTTCTGGACAAAAATGTGCGGGTAATGAGAGGCAATATGAGATGAAGGGCTTCACTTTTCAGTTAAAAGACTGGTCATCATGATAATTCATTAAGATTAATTCTTGAAGGTGAGTTCGAAGAATTTACAAAACGGGGAGAATGATCGTCCACAAACGACTTTGGGTCTATGGCTCCTATATTTTTCTCACAAACTCGTTAATTGATAGGTACGATTACCATTTTTCTTAGGCCCGTGTCCTATTTCACCACGGTATCCTGAATTCAGGGAAATACTGCATCCCTGCCTGCCACCTTACAGTGTAAACAGCGAGGACCAAACCCCATACAGTATGCCAAAATGGCGGAAAGTTCCAACCAATAAAACAGTACTGCTATCGGAATTTGCACTGCGTCGGATGTGCCCGAGACCTTGGCGTTACAAGACATCGGAACAACTGCAGAGTCTCCCATTTCAAGGTCTGCGAGCACTTTACGGAGGAGGTGGATTCGTAGCAGATCTTGGTTACACAAAGGCATCCGCTCTAAGGGTCATAAAAAACTTGCAGAATAATTTATGGGTTGATGAAAAAACGCGTGCGGTCCTCATCGAGTTTTTGGTTTTTGACTCGTCCACAAATCTCTTCAGTGCTGTCTCGTACATTTACGAGGCTCTGCCCTTGGGGGGTGCATCTACGTTTAAGAGAATCAACACGATGTCGCTGTACGGTGCGACGGGAACGCGTTCTTTCAGCGCGGTGTGCGAGCTAATAGTACTTCTCATGGTGTTCTACTTTATCATAGCTGAGGCAGTGAAAATCTGGAAGGACAAATGCTCCTATTTCAAGTCCGCATGGGCTTATGTGGAGATGGCACAGATTTTATCGGCAACAGCCACAGTTGTGCTTTCCATTTTCCAAAGGTACTATACTACGAAGCTGGTGAACAGAATTCACGCAAATCCCTTTGAAACTTCAAGCTTTCACTACGCTGTAATGTGGTCAGATCTTGAAAATGCGCTTATAGCCGTGCTGGTCTTCATTTTAACAATAAAAGTTCTCAAGATCTTACAATTTAACGAACACATTTCTAGTTTGGCGGCGAGCATGGTTCGCTGCCGCGCTAAAATCGTTTCTTACTCGGCTGTCTTTATGGTGGCATTCCTCGCCTTTATGCAAGTTGCACTTCTCGTCTTCGGTAGCACGACGAAAGCGTACTCGAGTGTTTCCGAGGTCTTCCGAACTCAGTTCGGATTGTTTATCGGAGGAGATACGGACTACCACGATCTTAAGTCGGCCAATCGGATTATCGGGCCAATCTACTTCTTTTTGTTCATGACCTCCATGGCTACTATACTTATAAACATGTTTCTAGCGATCCTTAATGAATCCTACCGAGAAGTGAGAATTTACCCTGATCGAGAGAACGAAGAGGCTGAGATGCTGAGGGTGTTTTTGGATTATGCTAAGAAAGCAGTGGGTAAAAAGCTTACCTCGTTTAAGGAAGAGAAATTTTTCCCAAGGAGAGACAGCTACAGCGTTAAAAATCAACAATCACAACACAAGGAAAAGTTAGAAGAAGACTTTAAGTACAAACCAATAAACTGGAGTAACTGCGACTTTACCTGTGATAAAAATCTCGTGGGTAACGATGCTGTTAATGAGAGCTCGTTTCTTGAAGACATTAAAAAACACTTAAGAACTATCAGCAGCGAGCTGAAAGACATTTCTATCTTGCATCGCTCACGAAGGTACAAAGTCCATAAAGTTCAAAAGAAGTTAGGCATCCACGATCAGAGGTTCAACGAAGACTTGCGGATGCCTTGCAGGGGACTGGGGATAGAAAAAGTATCCAGTAAATGCAGTTTATTTAGTTTGAGTGAAAGTACAATGTGCATTGACAGACTACGTAAGGGTCGTGACTCGGTGAGAAAGTTGCTAGGCAACGAAGACTCTTTCGATGTCGAAGATGCCGAGTGGGACGATGGGACATCGTACACTGAGTCAATGAGAACCTTCTTTGGCAATTCTGGGACTATCTATGACCCGGATAGAGACCCTTTCAGTGACTCGGATGCTGATGATTTTCAGGATCGAGAAAGCTACATTTAGATTTACAGATCTAAAGATCGATTGTACATACCTAAGATGGCGTCCCCTCGTCGAGACTGAAGCAATATAAACTCAATTCAAAAGAGAATCAAGAAGAGACTGAATCCCTCGTATGTGCTTTATTCTTTCCTAATTTTTTGACTTGCGACTTGCGCATGTGCTCGCACCTACGCAAATTATTTAAGATGTATCGTACTTATATATACAGGTTAATCATAAACATACAAACCACAGGCTGGTTAATACACAAATACTTATATATGTTAGATATCGAATTGAGGATTTAATTGAACTGGATACAAGTTTGCACATATTTTCCCTGGGCTATGTTGTTGCCTATAACATACCTCTTTAATGACTGGCCGGCCTAAATGGTATTCTTCACGTAGACAAATTGGACGAATTCTGACCTCGACAATATGTTAGAAAACGGTAGAATTTTCATTCAACAGCGAGCGCAGGTAGTCTAAGAAGGGTTATTTGCGTGCGCATAGAAGAATAATAGCTATGTTGGCCATAATGACAGATGTCTATTACGATGAAATGAGTAATAATTCACTCAAGATGTGCGAAGGATAAGCATCCAGGACCTGTTCTCTTTTTAAGTAGCTTTACAAAGTTAAAATTATTATGATATCCGTATTTTTATAGCTTTGTTTAAATGATATAGCCTTGGAGTTAAACGTTAGACAAGTTGATCTAAGGATAGTCGTTAGCTGGACTAAATTGCTTTTGTCAAACCATGATCTAGCTGAACATTATTGGTATCCAAAGTTGAGTATGTAAATAAGTATACTGAAAAAGCGTATGACAGTCTCGGTATTATACATTAAGGGAACGCAGAGGGTAGTGCCGAGAAAAGCTATGGTCTTCGATCATCGAACACATGATGTTTAATTCACGTCAAAGGCTGAAATGTAAATAAAAGATTTGTACGTCAAAGATAACCAGCGCCTTACTAATCATGGAGTTTATATTCAAGATGTTACCTGGAAAAAGGAGTTTGAGACTTAAAATTATTTCGCTACGGTAGGTAAAAGGTAAAGGTAAAGCCTACTCAGGAGCCATGTGGTTCATCGGGCCGGCACTTAACTCCGGCTTCCGTAGCACGAAGCGATTAGGAGTATTTCTACCCCTCCCTGGATGGGATGCTAGTCCATCGCAGGGTTACCCCCGGCATTAAATTCGCCGGTACCCAGTTAATACACCTGGCACTGTGAGAGTAAAGTGTCTTGCTTAAAACCACAACACGTTGTCCCCGGCTGGGGCTCGAACCCGAACCACTCGATCCAGAGTCGAGCGCACCAACCATGGGGCCGCCGCCTGCACTGTAAAATTTCATTTAAGGCCGTAAATTTCTATTTTTAGCAAATTTGCACTTCACATTAGTCTTGTATTAAGAGATCCCGCCTGGCTTGCAATGGGGTCGCTACCGAATCTCGGGAAGATAGCGGCGTAGCCTGTGCAGACGTTCAATTAGTATAACGGTGCGATAGTCTCGGAGAAATAAAATATGAGGGGTCTGGGTCAAGTGACGACCCGACTCGAGCTTTCCTCGCTTTTTCGTAGCAGCGTAGTCAGTTCCAGGCATTCAATATTGGTAAAACGGTGCCACAGTAACGGAGGAGTGAAAAAACGAGGGAGATCTGGGTCAGGTGACGACTCGACCCAAACTTCCGTCACTTTCTCACTTCTCTGCTACTATTAAAAGTGCGCCATGAAAATTTTCCATGTAAAGGAATGAGTTAATTTTCTTTCGCTCTAGCACACAAAACAAAGGTGAAGTTGTTTATGTTTTATAATTTATTAAGCCCTCGAGACCTTTAATAATTTCCTTTCCTCGTTAAGATAAGACCCTACAGTACTAACTATACAGAAATGTGCTTTCAATTAAATAATAGTTGATTTGTCGAAGACCAAAGTTACGACTATTTATGTCGGCTTCAGGCAAACAGACTGGGAGCCATCGCAAAATAGCTGGAGAGATCAGCTTTGAAACTTTGAGTAGTCTTTCCACTTTCTTGGCACTTCGAATCCCCTTCATCTCTGACTTTTTTTAAACAAATCCTCAACTAAATCCCTATCGGCTCTTAAAGAAAAAAATTCACTCCGATTGGTGAAGAAAACTTGTCGTAATTCGTCATCACTGACATTCCGGAATTTCCTAAACCAATGGCCGCCTCTCAATCTACTGATTCAGTAGATTCCAGGTTTTTTCCTCTTTGCTTCAACTTAACGAACTTAACGCATTTGAAGGACGGTTAAAAATCTCAAAGAAATTGTGTTCTTTCGCTATTAACACCTTTCTCTCACGCTTCGATCGCGATTTCAGGGAAAAAAAAAAACCCAGAGATACTTAAACCGTTTTTTAACTTCTTTTTTGCCAATCTGAAAACGAACACCACAGGGTTCTTCACAAGTCGTGACGTCATTCTCGAGCCGTTTCCACTCCTTAGCAGCTTTGAACATCTCTGATTAAATCCTTCGGCTAAACAAATATGTCGTCTCCGAAGTACACCGTGAAGCTAACCACAGTTTGAAGTTGAAGAGCTCCAAGTACTTCCCATTTCAACCGTACAATTACTTTACTTTTGGAGATGAATCTTTTCAGACCCGATGTCCTCTTTACTTCTTCTTAATGGGTGTTGTCGTGTTTTACGAGATCGCCACCTTCCCAGGGAATGCAGTTTATGTACACTTCCAAACAAAGACACTATTAAAAGGGGAAAAAATGTTATTGAAATTACCGAGCTAATCTTAACGATTGTTCCGAGGTTTTTCCAACGATTCCGCCGATAAGCTTAGTGGAGAGGAATGTGGCACAATTTCTTCTGCATTCTCTCTAACTCTATCGCGTTGCAGAGGAATTTCGACATTACCTGTGCATCTGGGCCCAGTTGTTCAAAGGCGGATAAGCGCTAACCCAAGGTTAAATTCTAATCATGATCCTGGTTTTTTTTTTTTTCTTTTTTTTTTCTTTATTTCAAAAGCCTTTTTCGGATCATTTCCTCTATTTGGTTTAGAGCACTCGATATTCAAATTCTAGACAAAAAGACCTTTACTAAATTTTCTTTCAAAGCTTTCAGGTCTGAAATCAGATTTCACACTTACTGTGGATTATGTTAACCCCACTTTGAACAACCTGGCGCTTGTAAGTAACTTAGCTTGCCAACACTTTATCTGGAGCTCAGTTGCTGTGGCGTGCGACAGCAAAATTGGAATTGGCTGGAATGGATAGAATCTTCAAGAGCTGCTTAAATCTTTTTCGGGGGGGGGCAAGCTTAAGGCAGATGTCAAAGCCGTTCTTACTTCATCCGTCAAGCACAACGATTCCCATCTTGCTCATTCTGTCTTCATAAAATGAGCGAAATTTGTGTTGATTTGGTTCAAAATCAACAAGCACAAATATCTTGCCTCTCCAACTTACCAGCAATCGTCTCCCCCTGCACTTATCAAGTATCGGTCATCACAAGTGAATCGCACGTTAGTCACGTGAGCGGAGTGACCCACATACCGCTTGAAGGGAGCCTGGAAACAAATACACCCGGATAATTTACAGCCATGATTTAAAAAATTGTGAGGGGTTCTTTTTCAAGCTGCCAATTTAAGTTCGCACACGAAAATAACTAAGAAATTCGCACTTGCAAGGCAGCTAGTTGTATATCTAAAGTCATATTAACATAATAGGTAAAAAAAAAAAAAAGAAGCACCATACGGTTTATTGCACTTAACGTAGGTCATGACAAAATAAACTTACAAATTTCTCTGAGGCAGGGAACTCAAACAGCTTCACAAAACCAAAGTCATCACCGGTGGCGAGCGAGAGGCCGCTGGACGAGAGATTGGCGCAGTTGACGTCTGCTTTGTCAGCGTTACGAGGCCAAACGCCAATGACTTCATTACCAAGAACACTGAAACGTCGACAAGTAAGAATAAGCACGGAAAAGTCGTTCTCTGAACTTATTAAGTAACAGTGGGAAGTTGAGTACAAAAACTACTTACCTCGTCCATGAGGCCCAAGTGATTCTGTTGATTTCTTTTCTATCTTTCAAGGGATTTCCACTAGGAACTGTGAACACTAAACGCTCATAAGCGCCCGTGGAGACCTTAGCCAACAAACAAACAATATGTAAGCCTGATTGTCGAATAAAGAATGCGAAGGAAATAATGATCTGAGTTGCCAACGCAAGCCAGATGCATGTCTCTCTTCCATCGTGACCGGCTCTATTACTGTGCTTCAGAAACTACCAACGAGTTCGATTATACTGTATATTTAATTTTTTAGTCACAAGTGTCCTTCATATCTAGTGTGTTATCAAAAAAGGAACCACATTCACGCTGTCATAAACGACCTGGTCAGGCATTAAGTGTTTTCGGCGCAATCCAGAAATAACATTAACCATTGATGCGCTCCTGCAACATATGCGCCTGAAAAAAATTTTTTTTTAACTTTGGAAAAAGGATGTACGTTAACGCGACAATCATCCGTCAACCAGCGTCTCTGCCTGTTTGTTACTTTCGCGCCAAAAGTGAATTTAAAACCTAGCAACAGCCAATCAGAAAGACTACACGCGTTTCCGAAGATTTATTTCGTAAATTTTGAATGATGCATCTGTTTCGGGGTAAAAAGTGGGATACGGCAAAAAAAAAAATAGTCTCGTTGTCAGTCACATATAACAGTTAAAAGGATTATTTCACACCTGAATGAACCTGCTATCAGCAGAGAAGTCCATCTGAGTGACGAACGAAGGAATTCCCTTACAGTAACCAGCACGTGAAAGAGGTCGTCCTTCGCGAAGCTCATAGAAGTCAACACAGCTGTCGTCTGATCCAACTGCCAAGTATTTTCCGTCTGGACTGAATCTATCAGAGTCAACAACACCATCATTTGTTTGGGAAAGGTGAAATCAACCATAAAAGAAAAATGATAAGAGCAAAGCCAACAGCGGCACATGATTGCGGGGAGGTCCATGGGAGCTCAGAAATTAGCCGTGACAAGCCTGGATATCCAAGTGAACGGAATAATGGGAACTTAGCAGTGGACATTCCACTAGATGGTTCTTCTTGTCCACTGTTTCCAGGTCGAGTCGGATTTGAAATGTTGGTTTGGATAAAAACCCTCGAGGCAAGGACGAAAACCTAAAACAAACTCACATGTGACACCAGGTCCGGGAATTGATCTGATTGGCTTGTTGAATCGTCTATGCTTGGCCTGAATGACCGTTAAGAACGGGCAAAATCGCATTCTACCTGGTCCCGTCCCGAAATAAAGTGAGTCAGTTGGGGAGAATTTTTTTCAAACCAATCATGTTTACTCAATTGTTTACCTAATATCTTGAATGGCTTGGTGACGATCACGCTTCTGCGCCACGATCTTTAGCTCAGCGGTTTTCAGCAGAGCAAAAGCGCCATTTTTAAGACCTACAGCAAGAAGTTCCCCGTCAGGTGAGAAAGCCGCCGAACGAGCGGCGACGCCCAATGGAGCCATCTTTACCATCGTCTATAAAACAAAATTTTTCTGTTCCTCGATTTACTTTGCTGACAGCATACTAAAGTGTTTGTTATCACAAATCTCCACGACTGTCTGTAGAATTGTGTAAAACTTTAAGAAAAATCTATTTTTTCTCAGTTTTTAATCCTCTCTATTAAAATGGTCAAAGGTGAACACATGGCTATCCAGGTGAGGTAAGTACACGTTTCCAAGAAGAATTGCAGAGAGCAGTAGGACAAAGGCAATACAATCTCGAATTTATTTTACTGCAGTTTTCAACTAGGTGTCGAAAAACCAAAACCAAAGTAATCACGGTGACCAATCAGAAGGTGGTTTACATTAGCATCAGCCAATGACAATACAAAGTGAAAAAAAGCCAATTGCTTGAAGCTTAAAGCGCAGGAAAACGCGAATGATTGGTTGAGAGGATAGTGGGAATTTTCTGTACCAATCACAGAACAAAGTTAAGCAAAACCAAAGCAATTCCGGATTACTTTCGACACATTTGTCACGCTCAACCCATCGAACTCAATAGGAAATTACTCCATCACAGATCAACCAATCACAGAGCATTACCTTGCTGGCCACGTCCCAAAGCCTTACTGTCTGGTCATCGCTTGCTGTCACGAACACTTCTCTATCCGGGTGGCAGGCTAGTCCCCAAATCTCCCCCTCACCGTGACCACGAACGAGGGTCTGGGAAAAGAGTAACTTCAGAGAGTTATGTACTACTTGCAATAGATCAAATGAAGATCACGCAATGCTTGAAATTATAAAAACACTGAGATAACCCTGACCTGTAACGTGGCTGCTTTCTCTGTGATTTCAATTATTTCACTGTCCTTTGTGCCAACCAGGATTTTACCCTAAAAAGAATAATGAACTTTCATCTCTCAGCTGACAGCAGTTTCCAGAATTTGTTACAAACATTGAAAGCAGCAAAACAAAAGGAGTAGAGAAGATTGTGGACGTCTTATTTGCTTCCACGCACATAATTCAACATATTCCTTCTGATTTTTAAATACTTTAGTACATCTCAGACTCAAGATGCATTACTTCAAGGGTTGAGGTCGGGGAGCAACCGTTTTAAGTGAATGTTTTCAAACAATAAACCGCTTAACTAACCTTGCCTCTGCAGACTGACCGTACAACACAGGGACCTGAACCCAAGGATAGCGTGCGGCACCGTTTCATTTCCTGATCCCACAGTTTGATGCCAACGCCTTCCTTGGCGTTCCTGTGGAATGGGACAAAAACGTGATATTACCAGGCCCTTCTAGTATGGCCATTCCTTGTGGGGTAGACCACTTCTGAGAGTCAACAAAATAGCTTCTAGCCGAGCTGGCCCTGCTTCGTAAGTACCACTCGCGAAACGCACAAAAAGCCCACTTCCCTTTTTCTTACCCTTTGTCCTTGCCGCCACTAACTATGAGTCCATCCCTGAATGTTGTGTGCATCGCGAATACGGGTCCACCGTGTGCTCGGCTAACCACCCTCGCAAGCTTGTGACCTGACCACACAAATATATCTCCGTTCATAGCTCCAGTAAATGTCAAGTTTTCCTGTCTGAACTTAAAGTATATAGGTACATGTATGTGTGAGGGAATGGATTTCAGCAGAAGATTACAAAATAAACGTAAAAGTCGAACATCAATACCCACCCTTCATAAGAATGACTTTTCAAAGAGAGTAGAAAGGGAAGATTTATTATTGCAATTTGGTTTTATCAACTGAGTTATTAAAGTAAATTGCCCACCGTAAAGAGTTTCAAAGCTGACGTTTCAAGCGTTAGCCCTTCGCCATTCGCTCTCACGAAGAGCCAACGCTCGAAACGTCAACTTTTAAACTCTTTAGGGTGGCCAATTTTCATCACCAACTCAGTTGATAAAACCAAATTACCTTAATAGCCCCACCGACACAGCACCACAGTTCCTTTAGAAACTTCTTCACCTTATTATTGCAGTATGAACCAATTCATTCCTTTGCTATTGTGGAGAAAAGTACGCTGACCACAGCCGCTTTCTTTAAAAAGTAGTTTAGCGAGGAACGCGAAGTGAAAGCGCAAGAACGAGCAAAAAGCGCTAAAGCGATCTCCCCTACCCTGGACGATGATTCAGGAGAAAATAAAAGATCAGTGAACAGACTAGATACAGTGACAAAACGGTACTTTCTGAGTTCCTCCCTCCTCTCAAGAGTATAA